TCTATATATACAGAGTTGTGGCCCTTTGTACATGTTTGACCCTCTATATACACAGAGTTATGGCCCTTTGTACATGTTTGACCCTCTATATACACAGAGTTATGGGCCTTTGTACATGTTTGACCCTCTATATATACAGAGTTGTGGCCCTTTGTACATGTTTGACCCTCTATATACACAGAGTTATGGCCCTTTGTACATGTTAGATCCTCTATATACACAGAGTTGTGGCCCTTTGTACATGTTTGATACTGTTGTTTGTCAGGAGGTCGGGGACTAAGGACCACTTCTAATATTTCACTTTGTTATGCAAGATATATAAAAGTAAGATATTTGGAAATGTATAAGTAATATTGCAATGGTTATTGTCTCATTAAAATAATTACATTGATTTTTCAGGTAAAGTTTTTAAAATCCACTGACCCAGAGAGCTACACCACAGGAGAAGCGGGACAGACCGACGCCAAGAAACCACAATCAAAGTAAGGCCCCAAAATAAACACTCAAATTCTAAACTGTCAAAAAACTCAAAGACCTTGTTGTGGTTTAGTGTTACTTTATCTTTCCCTTTTTATACGACTGTCAAATTTGATGGTAGTATTATGGTATGGCATTGTCCGTCTGTCCGGCGTAAACTTTGTTCGTCCGGCAATTTCCTCCTACATTTTTTCGACTGATCTATTTGAAATTTGGTATACATGATAATCATAATATGAAGTTGTGTCTTCCTAAAAAGAATTTTGATTAGACAATTTTTCCAAAAGTCATCACCCTTTGTTCATTTCAGTATTTGAATTTTGTCCCGAGATCTCCTACATTATCCGACTGATCTCTTTGAAAGTATATAACACTATATATCATTCGACAGGCGTATTTTGTGTAGCCCCGCGGTCCTCTTGTTTAGTAATTAACTACCTTATCACCATTTAAATTAGAATTAAATATTAAAATTAAACACCAAGTGTGTATATTGGATGAGGGAAGAGTGAATATAAGTGCTAATGTATAGCACTAGGTCCGAAAATATAACAGAAAAAATACCGTTATTTCTCATTTATTCATCACTTTCCGCAGAAAAGACCTGATAGCATCACAGAGGGAATACAAACGGAAAAAGTCTCAAAAGAAAGCTCAGCGTCTCAAACAGATGGAGGAAGAGAGAGAATCGGAGAAAAACAAATGGCTGGATTTCAACTCCAAGGTAAGCCAGTTAATATACACCTACACTATTACACTACAGCATTATCTATATTGTATATCTCATAGAACAGCTTTTTGGTAATTACTCAGTGAATACTGAACTCCACAAACTAGCCCTGTTTCCTCTGGCCCTGCTTCCTCTGGCCCTGACACCAGACTAGGACATTTTGACAGAGTGATGTCTGGTGTAGGGTCAGAGTGTCCTGCTCTATGAAAACGTGAAATTTTCCGACACCGTTTGGTATCATTGAGTTTTTTGGTGCTGCAACAAATATCAACTTTGACAACACTTTCCTCACACATATCGATAGGATTATTTATTGATCCAGATCAGCTCTGATACTCACCAACAGCTGCTAAATTCCATCATTAGAGTCCTCGGTTTTCAATCATTCAAAATTTCCCATCTGAGCAAGCGCCATTTTTGTGGGTCGTGGGGTGACTAATCAACCAACCGTCCTGATCAGAACCGAAAACGGAATATATTATTCTTGTTTGGAAGATTTCCGGACGGCAATATTGTTGATTAGTCACTCCCCAATACTAAACGGTGTCGGAGAATTCCACGTTTTCATATAGTAGTGCGCTCTGGACCTACACCAGACATCTATCTTTCAAAATGTCTTAGTCTGGTGTCACGGCCAGAAAAAACTCAGGCTATTCTCAAACCATACTTCATTTACTAAGCCCACTGTTGAAAATGTATGCATTTTAGTGATCTCAAATTTAAGCACATTATTGAATTTTAACTTTAAGTGCATTGATGAATTGGCACAATCGCACATATATATTATATATAATGAATAACAATATACAGGAGCTTAAATCAGTGCAGTAATAATTTATCATAATACCTAAACTGCAAAAGGCGATAAAATAGGAACACTACTGAAATTCATACCTTTACAGTCATTCCAAGAAACACACTAAATATATAGGATCAATAGTGTATTTAAAAAATTCTTTCTCAGAATTAGGGGAAAAGTGGTGCTTTGTGTATGATGTCATCAAAATATGTTCTCATCTTTTCCTTTTATTACTTGATACACTATAAACACAAACCAATGGAAAAGGATGTTACTAACTAGTATTAGAGGATTTATATATAACTGTTACTAACAGTATTTGAGGATTTATATATAACTGTTACTAACAGTGTTGGAGGATTTATATATAACTGTTACTAACAGTGTTAGAGGATTTTTATATAACCTTTACTAACAGTATTAGAGGATTTATATATAACTGTTACTAACAGTATTAGAGGATTTATATATAACTGTTACTAACAGTATTAGAGGATTTATATATAACTGTTACTAACAGTGTTAGAGGATTTATATATAACTGTTACTAACAGTGTTAGAGGATTTATATATAACTGTTACTAACAGTGTTAGAGGATTTATATATAACTGTTACTAACAGTGTTAGAGGATTTATATATAACTGTTACTAACAGTGTTAGAGGATTTATATATAACTGTTACTAACAGTGTTAGAGGATTTATATATAACTGTTACTAACAGTGTTAGAGGATTTATATATAACTGTTACTAACAGTGTTAGAGGATTTATATATAACTGTTACTAACAGTGTTAGAGGATTTATATATAACTGTTACTAACAGTGTTAGAGGATTTATATATAACTGTTACTAACAGTGTTAGAGGATTTATATATAACTGTTACTAACAGTGTTAGAGGATTTATATATAACTGTTACTAACAGTGTTAGAGGATTTATATATAACTGTTACTAACAGTGTTAGAGGATTTATATATAACTGTTACTAACAGTGTTAGAGGATTTATATATAACTGTTACTAACAGTGTTAGAGGATTTATATATAACTGTTACTAACAGTGTTAGAGGATTTATATATAACTGTTACTAACAGTGTTAGAGGATTTATATATAACTGTTACTAACAGTGTTAGAGGATTTATATATAACTGTTACTAACAGTGTTAGAGGATTTATATATAACTGTTACTAACAGTGTTAGAGGATTTATATATAACTGTTACTAACAGTGTTAGAGGATTTATATATAACTGTTACTAACAGTGTTAGAGGATTTATATATAACTGTTACTAACAGTGTTAGAGGATTTATATATAACTGTTACTAACAGTATTAGAGGATTTATATATAACTGTTACTAACAGTGTTAGAGGATTTATATATAACTGTTACTAACAGTGTTAGAGGATTTATATATAACTGTTACTAACAGTGTTAGAGGATTTATATATAACTGTTACTAACAGTGTTAGAGGATTTATATATAACTGTTACTAACAGTGTTAGAGGATTTATATATAACTGTTACTAACAGTGTTAGAGGATTTATATATAACTGTTACTAACAGTGTTAGAGGATTTATATATAACTGTTACTAACAGTGTTAGAGGATTTATATATAACTGTTACTAACAGTGTTAGAGGATTTATATATAACTGTTACTAACAGTGTTAGAGGATTTATATATAACTGTTACTAACAGTGTTAGAGGATTTATATATAACTGTTACTAACAGTGTTAGAGGATTTATATATAACTGTTACTAACAGTGTTAGAGGATTTATATATAACTGTTACTAACAGTGTTAGAGGATTTATATATAACTGTTACTAACAGTGTTAGAGGATTTATATATAACTGTTACTAACAGTGTTAGAGGATTTATATATAACTGTTACTAACAGTGTTAGAGGATTTATATATAACTGTTACTAACAGTGTTAGAGGATTTATATATAACTGTTACTAACAGTGTTAGAGGATTTATATATAACTGTTACTAACAGTATTAGAGGATTTATATATAACTGTTACTAACAGTGTTAGAGGATTTATATATAACTGTTACTAACAGTATTAGAGGATTTATATATAACTGTTACTAACAGTGTTAGAGGATTTATATATAACTGTTACTAACAGTGTTTAGAGGATTTATATATAACTGTTACTAACAGTGTTAGAGGATTTATATATAACTGTTACTAACAGTGTTAGAGGATTTATATATAACTGTTTCTGACAGTGTTAGAGGGTTTATATATAACTGTTACTAACAATATTAGAGGATTTTTATATAACTACAAATTACATATTTGATTGATCTCACTGACACATATTGCCTACTTTATTTACGTAATGCATAATACCTATCCCTATTGTCAATTTGTTTGTTAAAATTTGTTGAGTTGGTGTATGTACCAGAAAAATAGTACAACAGGATATGTACAAATGTTTTCTTGGTTCCCTTTCAGACATTTTCCAAAACAAGTAAGGGGAAAGTGAAAAAGAGTATATTTGCAACAACAGAGCATGTGAACGGCCGTGTGGGCGTGGGGACCTGTGGTGTCAGCGGACGACCTATGACCTCGTTTACACAACAGGAGAAATGGAAGAAATAAACTGATATATTTATATAAATCAAATTCTATTTTTTTGCCATGCTAATTACAGTCAAGTAGAGCATGTCATGTGAAGGGAACTGCTGCCAGTAACAATGGTGTCTGAAGGGTATAGCGGTTCCTTCATCACAGGCTTCAGTGGAGCAATCTCATTAACGGGCTTAGCTCTCCAAAAAATATTTTACTGTTTAGCAATTTTTGCAGGAAAAATCTCCTGTTACAATTACAGTAACATCCAATTTGATGCATCTGATGTACTTTGGTAACAAAATGAACAATTGAAGCACTGAAAACCTTAAAGTTTGTGATATAAAGTAAAGATCAGGTTTGATGTCTTTGACCAATCTGTTTTCAATATTGGCTATAATGGATATAAAAGAATATGCAATAGAATTGGGTGATCAGTGTCATCTGGTATCTCGGCCATTGTATGATTTTATAGGTCCTGTAGTTTCTGGTAGGTCTAGCTGGGAAATATGTGTCTTTGAAAGCAGAGGAATTAAACCTCATGTTACCGTCATCTTGATGGTTATACAGTGTCACCTTGTAAGCTCCATCACATTTGTTCCCAACTGTTCAGGGAGTGAAACAACTTAATTAATTACATGGGCAGTTTTATTGTCTCGTCGCCACGAAGTGGAAGCAAGACTCAGGTGTTGCTTTTCTGGCAACAGTGTATAGATTAAGTTTTTGCGTTTAAGTTAGTTTCACTGAAAGTATAAGTGCTAGACCAACCAAACTTGTCAGTGTTTGTTTCCATTGTTCAATTAAACTGCCTACATTACTACAGCATTAATGAGATTGTTAATGTTATCACATACAGCGTGAACATCTTAAAACCTGAAAGTTTTCAGCAGGCTGAGACCACCATTCTAAATTTTATGTGATGCAATTCTTCAAAAGAAGAAAGGTTTTTTTCCAACAATTACTAAACAGCTTTATTTGAGAAACACAAAATTTGAACTAGTCTGACAATAATACTATAGCTGTCATCCTCTTTCATTATGAATTAGAATAATTAAGATATATGATACACAGGTGAAGTAATGTAAGGAGGAAATATCTAACTCACTGTTCAGCATTATATTATAAACATTCTATTTCTGGTTGATATTATCTGCTGTGAAGTCCTATTTTTACACAGAGATAACAGTGATAAACAATGTGTCACTTCAGTACTGTCTGATTAATTTGTCTTGTGAGCTTCTACCTCTGTAACTCAATGCTCTCAACTTGCTTGTTGGGCCGCAGTGGCCAAGTGGTTAAGGCGTGCAACATTCTGCTACCACTTGCCCTCAAACCCTGGGTCGCAGGTTCAAGCCCACCAGGTCCTGGCTGTAGGTCCGTGGTTTTTTCTCCGGGAACTCCAGCTTTCCTCCACCATTAAAACCTGGCACGGCCTTAAATAACCATAGCTGTTGATAGTACGTAAAACCCAAACAAACTCAACCTGCTCTTTGGTCGCTACTCCATGAATAGTCAACAGATTTTTACAAGTCATTTTATTTCTTTTGCTGACTTGCACCCCAAAATAACCAAAAAAAATCCAGGATATTGCAATTAAATAAGTCTTTTATGACTGGTAAAAATATGCATGTTTTTAAAGATAGGTGCAATACAAGAAAAATGACACCTGAACAAAGCCTCTTCTGTACATATGTATGTAGGAGAAATGTTCTAATGTGAACAAATCAAATGTCTGAAACCTCCTTAAAGAAGTCAGCAGAACTTCAAACCTCCTTAAAGAATTCAGCAGAACTTCAAACAGTAATATGAATTGATTTGTGAAAGTTTGAATATCCCTTTAAACAGTCTGTCAAGCTACAACTAGACTTTACCGTAATAAATATAGGTGAATTGAATCTACTTGTAAGTAGAAACAGGTTCAGTTTTGTTCTTTTATTTTTCATTTATTGTACAATGTACATAACTCATCATGTTGGAAGTTTATGATCATCTTGTTTCTCATGTGCGAGATCTAGTATTTTGCGAGTTTGTGTGTAGAAGTTTTGAAAGAGATTGTTTGTCTAGGGAGAATGCAAAGCTTTCAAGTGTGAGTGGGAAGTGTACCAAGTCATTATGTTATAATCATGTCGATGTAATTATCATGTTTTGTACAAATAAAACATATTGTATGAAGAGATGTCAGGATTTGTTTCTGTGTTCAGTATATACAGGTATAGGACCAAAGTAGGCAGTGCACACTCGTTACAAATTGCAGATCGTTCCACTACTTTTGTCCAAATACTTTACTTGTGGTGTCAACTGTCCAGAATATAAAAAAATCAAAATCTTGAAGAATCTTTGGACTACACACTATATTGCTAATATACCAAAGTAATTTAATAAGGTGGAGGAGATACGGCTCTAACAGTGACGCTGTACTGTTCCCATAGATACCCAGATAATCCAGCACTAACAGTGATGCTGCACTGTTCCCATAGATACCCATGTGATCCAGCACTAGCAGTGACGCTGTCGTGTTCCCATAGATACCCAGACGATCCAGCACTAACAGTGATGCTGTACTGTTCTCATAGATAACCAGCACTACCAGTGATAGTATACTGTTTCCATAGATACTCAGATGATCCCAAATAGAAATCAGTACTGCTGTACTGTTCCCATAGACACCCAGATGATCCAGCACTAGGGGTGACGCTGTACTGTTCCCAAAGATACCCAGATGATCCAGCTCTAACAGTGACGCTGTATTGTGCCCATAGATATCCAGATGATCCAGCACTAAGAGTGACGCTGTACTGTTCCAATAGATACCCAGATGATCCAACACTAGCAGTGACGCTGTACTGTTCCCAAAGATACCCAGATGATCCAGCACGAACAGTGACGCTGTACTGTGCCCATAGATACCCAGGTGATCCAGCACTAGCAGTGACACTGTACTGTTCCCTTAGATACCCAGATGATCCAACACTAGCAGTGACGCTGTACTGTGCCCATAGATGCCCAGGTGATCCAGCACTAACAGCGATGCTGGACTGTTCCCATAGATCCAGATGATCCAGCACTAACGGTGACGCTGTACTGTTCCCAAAGATACCCAGATGATCCAGCCCTAACAGTGACGCTCTACTGTTCCCATAGATACCTAGCACCAACATTGACGCTGGACTATTCCCTTAGATACAAATGTACCTAGCGCGAACAGTGATGCTGGACTGTTTCCATAGATACCTAGCACTAACAGCGCCGCTGGACTATTCCCATAGTTACAAATGTACCTAGCACTAACAGCGATGCTGGACTGTTCCCATAGATGCCCAGATGATGCAGCACTAACAGTGACGCTCTACTGTTCCCATAGATACCAAGATGATCCAGCACTAACAGTGACACTGGACTGTTCCCATAGATGCCTAGCACTAACAGTGACGCTGTACCGTTCGCATAGATACCCAGATGTCCCAGCACTAACAGTGACGCTCTACTGTTCCCATAGATACCTAGAACTAACAGTGACGCTGGACTATTCCGATAGATACCTAGCACTAACATGGACGCTGGACTATTCCCATAGTTACAAATGTACCTAGCACTAACAGCGATGCTGGACTGTTCCCATAGATGCCCAGATGATCCAGCACTACCAGTGACGCTGTACTGTTCCCACAGATACCCAGAGGATCCAGCTCTAACAGTGACGCTGTACTATTCCCATAGATACCCAGATAATCCAGCACTAACAGTGATGCTGTACTGTTCTCATAGATAACCAGCACTAACAGTGATGCTGCACTGTTCCCATAGATACCCATGTGATCCAGCACTAGCAGTGACACTGTACTGTTCCCTTAGATACCCAGATGATCCATCACTAACAGTGACGCTGTACTGTGCCCATAGATGCCCAGGTGATCCAGCACTAACAGTGATGCTGCACTGTTCCCATAGATACCCAGGTGATTCCACTACTTTTGTCCAAATACTTTACTTGTGGTGTCAACTGTCCAGAATATAAAAAAATCAAAATCTTGAAGAATCTTTGGACTACACACTATATTGCTAATATACCAAAGTAATTTAAGAAGGTGGAGGAGATACGGCTCTAACAGGGACGCTGTACTGTTCCCATAGACACCCAGATGATCCAGCACTACCAGTGACGCTGTACTGTTCTCATAGATAACCAGCACTACCAGTGATAGTATACTGTTTCCATAGATACTCAGATGATTCTGCTCTAACAGTGACGCTGTACTGTTCACAGATACCCAGATGATCTAGCACTAACAGTGACGCTAGACTATTCCCATAGATACCTGTTGGTAACAGTGACGCTGGACTATTCCGATAGATACCTAGCACTAACAGCGATGCTGGACTGTTCCCATAGTCCCATAGATACCCAGATGAACCAGCACTAACAGTGACGCTGCACTGTTCCCATAGATACCTAGAACTAACAGTGACGCTGGACTGTTCCGATAGATACCTAGCACTAACAGCGACGCTGGACTATTCCCATAGTTACAAATGTACCTAGCACTAACCGTGATGCTGTACTGTTCCCAGATACCCAGATGATCCAGCCCTAACAGTGACGCTCTACTGTTCCCATAGATACCTAGCACTAACATTGACGCTGGACTATTCCCATAGATACAAATGTACCTAGCACTAACAGTGATGCTGGACTGTTCCCATAGATACCTAGCACTAACAGTGACGCTGGACTGTTCCCATAGATACTCAGATGATTCCAAATAGAAATCAGTACTGGTACTCAAACCTTGGTTACTTACAGAGCAAACACTGTTTTTGGGAAGATATTAAAATGGTTGAATTGAACCTCCTTTGGGCCAATAGAGGTTTGTAGTGATCAGTGGGATCATTAGGGATTTGTAGAAGTCATTGGGGCCACTGTTTTTTTAGAGGTTACTGGGGGTAACAAAGGGTCTAAAATGGTCAGTGGATGGGGCCACTTAGGGTTTGTAGAGGTCAGTTGGGCCAAGAGAGGTTTATTGACGTCAGTAGGGTCAATTAGGGTTTGAGGTGGTCATTACAGCCACGAGGGTTTCGTATAAGTCAGCGGGGTCACTCGATGTTTGTAGTGATCAGTGGGGTCCTGAAGGGTTTGTAGTGTTCAGTTGGGTCCCTTTGAGGTATTGTGGTCAGTGCCAGTGGGGCCACTATATTATGTTGATGATCCACCAGAAACATGTTTATCACCTTGGTTATTAAAGCATTCCAAGGAGCACTTTACAAAATGTAGTAAAGTAATGGTAGTAAGACAGTAAGAGAAATTAATCAAATCTGCACACATTCTTCTGCTTTTGGACCACTAACCACTGTTTTGGTATTGTATACATCAGTATGTTATGTGTAACAGGAGATGGAAAAATGCTCAGCCAGACCAGGGTTCAAACCCAGGACACTCTGAACTCTCGACACTTTACCAATAGAGCTACCTGGTCGCCAACGATCCACCCAGTCCAGTTATATTTATATGATGATTTATGTCACATTGTGAAGCTAATATTAGCGATTAGTAACATACATGTGGTTCATTCTCTACAGATAATAACTAGAAATTAATTGTAACAAAAACGTATCCCCCCCCCCCCATTAAACAGTTTAAAAGTTACAGCCAAGAAAAAATGTTCCTTAAAACTTTGCACTTATTTGACCTTTAACCTCAAGGTCAAGGTCACAGTGACCTTACAACAGTGCAGTGCACATCATCTATGGGTGATGCAGGTATTCTTCAGGTTTGATCAAGATATCTTTAACAGTTTAGAAGTTATGCCGTGGACAAACTTTGATATAAAAAATAAACAAAGGGCCATAACGCTGTATATATTTCAGTGCGAGAGATTCCACCTTCCTAACATACATAAATATGGTAAGTTTGGTCAAAGTAGGTGAAATAACATGGAGAATATGCTCCGGACAAACTTTGGTATTAAAATAAACAAAGGGCCATAAGTCTGGATATAGTTGGGCACGAGACCTAATTCAAGTGCACTGCACACCTTCTGTGGATGATGCAGGTATACTTAATGTTTGATCAAGATATCTTAAAAGGTTTAAAATGTATGGCTTGGACAAGTTGCAATTAGAAGAAGAAGAACCAGTACATGTACTAATACAATGTCTCCCTTCATTGGAAGGGGAGACATAATTAAACACCAAACAAGTATGATAGTTTGTACAGATTCATTTATTAACAATATTTACAAGTGATGAGAGCTGTTCCAGAATTGATTGTACAAGATCCATGAAACATAAAATAGATATTGAGGATTACCAAATATAGGAATGTTCCTAAAAATATCCTCAAGCTACTGCCCATTCACACCTCCACAAACTCACACACACACACACACACATACAACTAATTCTGGAATAGCACTGATGGTGAATTTGATAGCAAAATGAGTAAAATATATAGCTAAATGAAACCTGGTACACATTTTAATTTTCGTAATGTAACGGGATGGATTGCGTACTCCTTTGGTGACAGAACATTTATGTTGAATAACATCAGTCCCTGGTCATTAGGTTCTGAGGTCCCAGACTTGCTTTATGTAGGTGTACCAACATGTCTGAGATTCCCAAAACGTATACAATCTATCAGCCCTGTGTTCTAAACCTGATGGTAAGATTACAATCTATCACCCCTGTGTTCTAAACCTGATGGTAGGTTATGTGTTAGGAAGCTATGATGATATATGGACACCAAACAATGCTAATGTCACAGTACCCAAATCAGGGCACTTGAAGAAAAAGTATCTAGAAATTTATATGCTGTGCAAAGAAGTATTTTTAAATTGAAAATATTGATTTAAAGATGCTGATATACCAATGAAACTTTATATGAACTTTATTTACTGCCACTTATGGTTACAATCAGTTTTAGTTTGTAAATAATGACGAAAATGTAACGTTCTAAATTGATGTGCCATGCGACGTTATTGATTTTCAATTTTTGTATGTGGTTTTTCACAATTCTACTATTTTGGTGGTTTGGAAAATGAATTCTTTCAAAATGACCCTTGACTCTGATACATGTATAATTTAATCTTGCTTGTAACAAGCATTTTCATTGACTTACAAATTTATGTTATCAGCCCATAACGTAAAAAAATGACGACACTGTTTATAACGATACGTCAGCGCAATAATTTCTAAGAGAAAAGAGTCCATCAATAAAAGTGGATTTCAACAGGGATTGTGTAAAGTAGATTAAATTATAAGGATTAACTTGAATATATTTTTCATGCTATGGAAACACTGTTGATCGAGGTCTGATATTTTCCATGTTATGGAGCTATAACACAAAAAAACGGAGTGTACTCTCATCATAAACCGCTTCGCGTTTTATTTAGAGTACACTCCGTTTTTTTGTGTTATAGCTCCATAACATGAAACATATTCAAGTTAATCCTTAAATATTCCAAAGATATGCCATGTTCTGCTAAATACTTTTTTCATTTCCAAATATAAGCCAAAACCGGTAGGGGTGTCCTGATTTGGGTACAGCTACACCTGTTTTGCGATTACATAACCATGACTATATTTCCGGTTATATTTATAGAACCATGCGCCGGATATATCAATTTGTAATCAAAGTGAAAAGATAATGATATCTATTTAGGAAAAGTGAACTCATATTACTGGGATCGGTACTATATTATGAAATACATCAATTTTTCACTAAGAAGTGTCCCGATTTGGGTACTGTGACATTACAGATGAGAGGTGATTGATTAGTCTCCCTGAATCACTTTAATGAATATTTCTTTGAAAAACAGCATTCAGTGTGTCACACTGCACTTCAGGGACACCACATCAGTTTAAATCTCCAATCAAAAGAAAGGGAAGATCTGTCCAGTATGTGGTAAACTGTGTTGTGATAATACAGCGATGTCCCAAACTTGTTATGTACAATATAACACGACATGTTCGTGGGTACTTTCCTTCGTGGTTTGAAGCCTTTAAGATGGCTTTGTGGTACAAACTTTCGTAGATATCCTATGTTAACAAACAGTAGACACATATTTGTGGTTCAATAGAAACCACGAAAACCACGAATGTTTATACAAAACAAACATTTCGTGTTATACAGAATACCACTTTATCCAGAAGTCATGCTGAGACAATGTACTGTGATATCCCAGACTTGTTTTCAATATTTTCTCTTCTGTATCTGATTCAGTTAATGATTGACAAATGTCCTTGAAATCAATAAACGATGACAAATGTCCTTGACATCGGTAAATGTTGACACATGTCGTCTACATCGGTAAATGTTGACACATGTCCTCGACATCAGTAAATGTTGACACACATCCTCGACACTAGTTTATGTTTTACACACACTTCCACACTAACATTACAAAGTTGTATCATTCTATCTCTCCTAGGAATATCTTCTTGTCACTCGAACAGGAAGCAACTGAAACAAAAAAAGTCACGTATAAGTCATGTGATCACAGAAGTCATGTGATCACAGATACAGCGTTCCTGTGATATTTGTTTCCTTTATAGTTCATTTTTTTTTACTGTTTATTCTGTATTTTACTTTCCTTCTATATTAACATTTACAAACTAATGACATATGTATACTTAGGAACATTGCCATCTACAATCACTGAAATATAAAATATCTTAAGTTATTTTTACATGTCAAGACATTTCGTTTATTTTGTCTTTTTTCATTCCGAAATTTGTATTACCAGTCAAACCCAACTATACGACAACATGTGATGATATGTGTGTCATATTATTTAAATGTGAATCTTTCATCCTTGAACATTGAGATAAAGTCAATGCTGAAACTAATACCAGGACACTGAGGTTAAATGAAACCTCAATGTAATGTTTGCAAATGTTTTTACGAAGGTACTCGTCAACCTAAACTATCTGAACCCGGCAGTGTATCAACACATACTCTAACTACAGCCACATATACTGAAAACTATCTGCACGTTCTTTATTAAAGAAAATTTCAAACCAAAATAAGAAGTAGAACTTCGCCTCGTGAGAACGAGATACAACTTTATCAAATGTTGCTAAGGGAAATAAAAGAAATCAAAGATAATGTATAATATAGAATTTCCAATGTTCACCACTTACTGATTGGTTCTGTTGGGTGGAAATCCACGTCGTTCACTGACCCAGCGTGACCAGGCAGCTTGTAGAGGATCCGACGTGTGGTCGTGTCCCATACGTAAACGTAACGGTCACCTGACCCAGCCGACACCTTGCTTCCATCCGGAGCCCAAGCACATTTCAAGAGATTCTAAAAAAAGGAAATGTCATTTGATTCCCAATTATCTGATTTGATTAGAAACAATAATAGTTTCAGCAATAACTCCAAACGAATTTTATCAATTTCAAACATAATTTTTATCAATGAAATCGAAAAAAAACATTATTTTACAGTGTTATAATCTCTATAATGTCATTCTACTTAGGGAATATCACGTTGTTTTGAGTGGCTATACTGGCGATTAGAACATGAAATTTGATTTGAACTCGAGACTGATAGGCGGAATATTTGGATTGTTCGCGGACGTCCGGTTACAAAAGTTTATACCACACATTTGGCACCCCTGTAGGTGGGGAATCGGGGAAAAATACACCTGTTGTTTCCCACTGCATGTATCGTAGGAGGCGACTAATGAAGGAACCCCTTGTAGATTTGGGGATTTGCTTTGTTGTCCTCTATTTGGCGACACAAAAGTGACCATAATAAATCTGCTGCAAACCATTGCAATATTTGGGATCTTTATCTTTCATTTTACTCCTAAATTTGAGAACGATCCTTCCAGAACTTTCTGAGAAAAAGCGATAACAAACATTAACTGTCAAAATCCAACATGGTGGCCTGTTGGCCATTTTGTTTATCCGATCAGTCTCAAAAGTAAACATGCACAACTTAAGACTAAGGTGAACCTAAATATAAAATTTGAGAAAGATCCCTCCTGAATTTTCTCAGAAATAATGATAACGAGAATTGTTAGTGATAACCAGAACAGGCCACGGAAGGACCACGGACGAAGGGAGATTTGAATAGCCCACCAATAGATGATGGTAGGCTAAAAATGAGTCACATGGTATGAGTCACATGGTATGATTCTGTTGCCATTTTTAAATTTGTCATGGAGATGCTTGACAGTTTGTTTCAAATAATATTGAACAGCTTTGAATTAATCACTCAAGTGACTAAGATTGTTGAAGAGTTGTTCCATCTTTATCATTGTTAATTGAGGTAATTTCAAATTTATGTACAAATCAATTGTCATCACTAGCCATGTAAGACAGGGTGTCACAAAACTAGAAAATTTACAGTACAAAGGAAATTAAAGTGAAAGGTAAAGTTATTGTCACATACAATAGTGATTTGATTATAAGGGATTTGACAGCCACACTCACCGACAAGAGATGGAGAAGATTGAACCCTCTATTATGATGATCAATAGGTATGCTCCTCATTTCCTTCAATTTGTTCTCATTCATATTGTATTTACAGATAACCATCACACATACCAAAGTTTAACAAGCACAGACAAATGTGACCTACTCACCTTTTCAAATGTATGTTGATGTCCCTGTAATATTTTCACACATCGCTCCTGTGGCGCGAACGGTCTGATGTCCCACACTCTCACTGAAATAATGGAGAAAGCATAAATACCAGAGTGATCTATTAAACGGTGAAGGTATAATGGTTTTAAGTTTTAAGGGCTTCTTGAAATACTTTACAGTGGTTTTTGGGGCAGAGATATTTGTTTGGACTCAAGCTTTTCCTGTGGGAATTTACTCATGTTTTGAGAATCCACTATCTCTCCAAGTGATGAATTTACCAAATTTTTTAAGATGTTGTTCAGATCTGGCTTGAAAAAATCCTACAAACATCATTTTTTATTATACTTCAAGGTGGATAAGCAGATTTCAGCCATATTTGAAATCTGTTATTTTTTCACGAAAATGCACTTCATTTATATATACAGTAAAAACATGATCAACCTTAAAAAAATACATATTAGAGAAAAAAATCACACAATATTGGTGTGAGGGAGATTGGGTAGAATTTCAATAACAATCCCCATCCTCCCACCTATCTGTGATACTGAATAACACGAAATGTGTATAAACATTTGTCGTTTTCCTGGTTGCTACGGAACCACAAAACTTTACAACTGTTTGTATATATGGGGTAACCAAGAAAGTATGTACCATGACACGATCTGAATAGCTCTAAACCACCAAGGAAAATACCCTCTAACACAAACATTTCATGTTATCCATTAGACTGTCAATTGATGTTGATTATACGACACTGTACCTGTGTTGTCCATGGAGTTGGAGAGGAGATAGGATCCGTCAGGACTCAGCTCCATCCCTGTCACTGTGTCGGCATGTCCTCGCAGTCGGTACAGCATGTCATTCTTCCTAAGGTCCCAAACCTGTCAATTTCATACAAAACATTACCCTCAAGCCCTAATACACAGAAAACTGTAAGGTTTCCGCACAAAACATTACCCTCAAGCCCTAAAACACAGAAAACTGTAAGGTTTCCGCACAAAACATTACCCTCAAGTCATAATACACAGAAAACTGTAAGGTTTCCGCACAAAACATTACCCTCAAGCCCTAATACACAGAAAACAGTAAGGTTACTGCACAAAACATTACCCTCCAGCCCTAATACACAGAAAACTGTAAGGTTTCCGCACAAAACATGACCCTCAAGTCCTTATACACAGAAAACTGTAAGGTTTCCACACAAAACATTACCCTCAAGCCCTTATACACAGAAAACTGTAAGGTTTCCGCACAAAACATGACCCTCAAGTCCTTATACACAGAAAACTGTAAGGTTTCCACACAAAACATTACCCTCAAGCCCTTATACACAGAAAACTGTAAGGTTTCCGCACAAAACATGACCCTCAAGTCCTTATACACAGAAAACTGTAAGGTTTCCGCACAAAACATTACCCTCAGACTCTAATACACAGAAAACTGTAAGGTTACTGTACAAAATGGTCAATGATTAAAAAGATAAAGTGCACAAAAGCATTGTAGGGATTTGATTCTTTGCTGTGACCTTGACATTGGATGTACAGGTCTAACTCCCAAATGGGGTTTTTTTGGACAAAAAACAAAAACGTATGAAATTTCATCCTATATTCGTCATTGATTCAGTAGTTATATTCTAGACAACTGTGACATTGTTTGAGATCCTAACTTTGTCTCCGTCATGTATGTGTGCATGGGCATGTGTACAGGTGTGTGCATGGTCGAGTGTACAGGTGTGCGTGTACATGTATGTTTGCATGGGCGTGGGCATGTATACAGGTGAGCGTGTGTACATGTGTACAGGTGTGCATGTGTACAGGTGTGCGTGCTGCATACATGTATGTTTGCATGGGCGTGTGCATGTATACAGGTGAGCGAGTTTACAGGTGTGCATGTATACAGGTGGGCATGTGTACAGGTGTGCATGTGTACAGGTGTGCGTGTGTACAGGTGTGCATGCTGCATACATGTATGTTTGCATGGGCGTGTGCATGTAAACAGGTGAGCATGTGTACAGGTGTGCATGTGTACAGGTGTGCGTGTGTACAGGTGTGTGTGTGTGTGTGTGTGTGTGTGTACAGGGGTGTGTGTGTGTGTACAGGTGTGCATGCTGCATACATGTATGCAGAATGTGCATGCGAGTTGTTTATTACCCTNTGTACAGGTGTGTGTGTGTGTGTGTACAGGTGTGCATGCTGCATACATGTATGCAGAATGTGCATGTGAGTTGTTTATTACCCTATATCCCCTTCATTGTTTATTACCCTATATCCCCTCCATTGTTTATTACCCTATATCCCCTTCCCTTCATCTTTCTTCTCATCCTCTCCCCCTCTCAAGGTACTTGTATTTATGTGTGTCTGTCGGTCAGATAAAATAACCTTTTTTTTCGTTTGGAAAAATATCTATAAAGTATTAAATAAAATAACTAGAATGGTGTTTCATGTCATTAACAAAATTACTGAAAATTTAAATTTTGTCTGAGTGATTTTTTTTTAAATACTTTGACTCTCTCTTTTGACCTTGATCTTCAAGTACACCACCAATCTATATCTTGTTATCAGTATTCTCGCTAAGATTTGAAATAAGTGGTTGACTTTAAAAGAATAGTTGTTTGATTGTTCACATGCTTTAAGTTGTGATGTATACATATTCTGAAGAAATAGCTGGTTCAAAGTTGAATACCGGGCAACTTTAACTTTTAAAGAGAATACTGGTTATATGTTGATCGTGAAATGAATAGAGTTTCTCTTCCTCAAATCGGTTTGGTAGCCTTACAGGTTAAGGGCAAGTGAGCTAAAAACAAATATTTGCACAGACAGAACCAAATAGTTCAATTATCTTTTTAAAGTTTGCGGAGAGTAGCTGAAAAGTTATGGCTTAAAAACTATAAACGCCAGATGGTTCTGTATCCTCTGTATTATTGACAGCTAAATTGACAAGGAGCTGATCCCTCCACGATACAAACCTTGATGTCATTGTCGATTCCCCCGGAGAGGATTTGTTCGGCTGTGTCGTTGAAGGTACATGCTGTAACCTGGTACGTACTCTGAAACGTCTGTATTACACCGCGCTTCCTCGAGTCCCACAACTGTAACAGGCAAGTATATCAATCAAAAACCTGACATTAATGGAAGTATCCCCAGACATATATCAAATAGGTAATTAACAATTATAATTACTAGTTATAAATTAATTAATAATACCTCAACTATCATTTTATAATTCAGGGTTTTTCCAGCTGTTTTGGGAAAGGGCCCCTCAACAGGAACTGGGAAAATATCATCAGCATATGGCAAAAATTGGGAATTTTCGTCAGTGTTCCCTCCCATCAGTCCATCAGGTTTTGGAAAAATAAAACCTACAATGTGATTTGCAAAAAGTTTTCCTCTAGATGTTTCTTACAGTGAAATGTATAGGAAGAAATTAACACATCAATTTTCAGTGTTTTTGTTTATTCAGTTTCAAATTTTCATTATTTATGTATTTTGAATGCTCCGTCATGTACGGTAACACGACTGGAAACTTGTATAAACATGCTTTTTGATTCAATTAGGAAAATAAAAATTGATATTGGGGAAAATGCAGGGTAAGTTTTCAATTGGGAATGAGTCCCTGTACCAGACCCTATAAACACCTGGCAAAACCCCTGTAATTATACAATTCATTGTGTGGAAATATAACAAATTCGAAATAAAACCAAAATGATTCAAAATTTACATGTAAATCATTTTATATTACATCACCAATGTTAAAATTTTGCTTTTTTCCCTTGCACCGTAATGAGAACGATTTTTTTAATACAACATAATAATCAAAGAAGTCAAATGTGAATGGCAAAATTAAAACTTGGAGGATATGGACTTCACCTGTGTTACTGTGTATGACAAAATATTTCTGACATATAATATATGTACTAAATATTTGAGTATTTTCTTCAAAATCCATGGATTTGTTAAAACCTCTTTGTGTTAACTCTGTATTATTGGGTCACTCACCTTTATTGTACCGTCGTCACTTCCACTACAGATTAGCTGTGGACCTCGTCTGGCCACGTTTACTGAATTCACAAAACTCTGGTGACCTTTCAACTTCTTGATGCGCTCACCAACCTCTACGTCCCATAATGCAACAGTTTTGTCTGTGGCGGCCGTAAACACTGTGCTGTAGTAACAATGTTGTATCTTAATAAAGTGACTGTGTCAAGTATAAATTATTACACATTACATCTCCAGCACACACGCAGGCATACACACATAGGAAGATATCAGCCAGGGGGCATAGGACTAGTAGTTAGGGCCTGATAAGGCAGCGCCTGCAAATTCCTCAAAATTTTAGTGATTAATGTAAATGCTTATTGTATTAATTGTATATCTATGTACTGTAAAGCGCTTAAGAGTGGCTTATGTTAGCTAGATAGGGCGCTATATCAAATGCTGTATATTATTATTATATTCTAATACTTTCCTAAAATTTTGAATGTATGAATCTTTGGCATAAAAAATAACACTTCAAATAATATAAATGAGCTTTCCTCTACGTTAATGTAAATTAAAGTTAAAGCATTGTGCTGTTGAGGACATTTTTCGGGGTAATTTACCACTGTGGCTGATTCTAATGACATTGGGAAAATGTAACAAAAACAAATAGATGGTGTAGCAAGGTTGCTTTTGTCAGTTTAATATTTCTCAGATTTACACAAAAAAAGATTTTGAATCACATGATAATTTTTTTCACATCTCATGTTTGTAAAATAGAAGCCACTGTATTAAGTAATGTGTACTTCTGAATTAATTGGTCAGATATAGTGTATATTAATACATTATCAGTATCCAAAATGAAAAGTAATAATTATTGTGTCAGTATTTTACTAGTTACAATTAATGGATGCAATCCTCATGAGAGGCCATCCTGTACAGGACATGATGAGCTCTTATAACATTTTACAGGAATTCTAACTATTTTCATTTCTTCATGAACTGTGATAGTGGTGAAAATCAATAATTATTACACAAAAAATCTGTAAGCAAAATTTTGCTAAAATTTACTAGTAACCATAGGATTAATGAACTTCTAGAAAATAAACTGTATCATACATAAGTGTATTTAACTCATTCACCCCTGAAGTTTCATAATGAACTATTCCAACCTTTGAATTGGAAGAGTTCAAATTTGTCTTCAGGGGTGAATGAGTTAAGCTATTTGAATTGGCCCTGGTGAGATAATAGTGACTTACTTTCCATCGGTGGAAAACTGAAGCTCCATCACAGCCCCGGTGTGGCCTTTCAGGACTGCAATATTTTCACATTCTCCATACACAAGCCAAAAATCTGTGGATAAAAAATGTAATCAATGAAATTATCTTCAATTATTAAAATGACTTACAGATTTACATTTCTACAGTTTATCTAATATTGAATTCTCACAGCAGTTGCCCTCAAACAAACAAACTGTAACTTATATTGCATCAAAAGCAACTATGCTGCTTATACCGGTAACATCAAAACTTTAAGAACATGCATTTCAAACCTTTATTACAAATCATTCTCATACATACATTTCCTAAGTTACCTTCGACTACTGGGTTTGAAGGTCATGTGTATTCAACATGTGTTTTGACTCAATATTTTATGGAAAATGTGACTTCTGACAACAACTTCAAAATGTGTGTTATACATAGCAGTCAACCTCAATAGGAGGCAGCTTTGATTTGAGACTCCCTCATTTTTACCAAATTTTACGGATCTCCTTCGAAACTCCCTCATTCAAGTCCAAACTCGCACAAACTCAAAATCTATATCCTGTGGTCAACTGATCTCCCAGTTACTCCAGGGTTAGGGTTATGTGAAATGATCATAACAGGTGTGTCAGAATCAAATGAATCGTTTTTGGAGTTAATTTGATAAATAAAAAGGGAAAGATAGATGTAGCAAAGCATTTTCCCGATCGCATGATAAAGGTATGAGGCTACCTGCCTCACCACGTGGTTTTTCCCCGGGTACTCCGGTTCCCTCCCATATTAAGACCCCTGCACGCTAACATTCGGGTCAACAAGAGTGATTAATATAAGTTATACTGTATAACTTGTTTCATAATTGTTGTTAAATAAAGTATTTTCAGTCATGTTTCATGCACTTTAATTTCTCCCTCAATGGAAATGTGGAATGACGGAGATCTTCCTCATTGGAGGTTTCAGAGATTGACACCTATGGTTATATGTCCCCTACACATACTTACAAATCAGCCTGTCAAATCCAGAGGAGGCAAGAAGTTGTCCATCAGGAGAAAATTTAGTAGTGAATATGTCACCTTCATGGCCCGTCAGTAACATGATGGGGGCTTCAAGGTTAGAAAGTCTTGGTGGGCCCTGTAAAGAAATTTAAGGCTAAATGATAACGACTATCAAGGATGCATCATATAAAGTTAACTGAAATCAATTAAGATCTGCACAGAAATACCAACCTAATTAACAGCCTGCACTCTCACAAAAATATTCCAGAAGTCAATTGACACCAAAACCCTATTACTTAGGGATTTTTTTAAAACATCAACATTAAATCGATCAGTCACACGAACATGTAATTGACACCGAGTAGAACCACGTCCACGTCCGTAGGGTCTGGTAACATGCTCATTTAAAGAGTGTGGCTGTCGGAGTTCTACAATATAATACGGTCTAACTGTGTTCACCTATGCGAAGCCCTACCCTACGTACACATATGTGACACAGCGTATAGCTTCGTAAATTAATTTCACGATAACTCAATCATTTTTCAACAAATCTACCTGAAGTTTGGTATAAAGGTGGTTAATAGTTATTTGAATAACATATCTTCTGATGTCGCTTACTTAATCAATTAATTTTAGAGATATAATTTGAAGACGCTTCACAATCTGTAGAGTTTTATTCACACACGTGTGCCACACCTTCGATCATAATAATAATCAAAATAATCGTTACTCAGTCATTTATTCAAATATCTACCTGAAATTTGATATAAAGGTATATCATAGATATATGAATAAAGTATCTTCTGATGTCGCTTACATTAAAGGTTATATAAGAGATATTGTCTGAAGACGCTTTACGATCTGTAGTGTTCTAGTCACACACATGCATGCCACCGATCATAATAATAAATCAATCATAATTTGATCATTTTTTCAAATATCAAGCTGAAATTTAGAATATATATCAATAAACGTCTAACTAATGACATATCTTCTGATGTCGCTTACTTTAGCAAGTAATTTTAACGATATTATCTGGCGACGCTTTCTTCACTTTACATGCGAATACACACATGTGCCACGCCGCGATCGTAAAATTCAATTCATCATTACTCGGTCATTTTAACAAATATCAAATTGAGATTTGGTACAGTGGTGTATTATAGTCATATTAACAACATACCTTCTGATGTCGCTTACTTTATTCAGTATTTTTAAAGAATTTGGGGCATTGTTGTCAATTGGAGACGATTGTTGTCGGTTGAAGACGCTTTTAAGGAGGACCCAGCGCCACGCTTCGCAGTCGGCAAAATCATATCGGATAGAAAAAAGGACGACCAGCGACCTCTTATGTTATAGGAGTAGATTATTACCCATATGCGCCCAACCTGATTAATATATTCCGCTCCTCAGTAGGCCTAGATGTTAAAATGAGGAATATTTACAAGGAAGTAACAGAGCTCAACTGATTAAGTGCATATGGTTCCTGAATATGCGTTTTTGGTAAAGTTGTTTCAGTCATGCATTTGTTTCTTATGTTATGTTTGGCATCAGTGTTTACGAATTCAACTTTCATGTTTGCTTACGGTTTGCAACAGGGCATTCTCTTGACTTATTAAATCGACCACCATGTCGGTTCTTGGCTTTTTACTCGGCACTAAGGCCCCATCTGTGAGCTTTCTTTTATAATCCATCGCACTGTCAACAAAACAAGACGCATGAAATCAGAAATCACCAAAGAAAGCGTGTCGGCACCGGAAGTATTGATGATCGAGATCTAGGTCAACAAACGGCTTTGAAAAGGAAATGGGTTGATACTAAATTCGGGACGTTTTGACTTATATTAACACGAATCTAATTCCATGAAATTACTCAAAATCTTGTTGTTATGTATATTAACTTCGAATTACGTGATATTATGTAAACCAAAAGCTGTAAAAAATATTATTGCCATGTAATAAAAAAAAAATAAGCAAAGAATGATCGCTTATTCTTGTTACATTTGACGTGACACATGGAGATGCAATCGGGAACCGTCGGCACTTTCCTTAAACGAGAAAATACTTTAAATAAGTATTTTCTTGTTTACGGAAAGTGCCAACGGTTCCCAATTGATGGAGATATTTTTCCCTCAGATATATCAGGGATGTGTACACATCCCTGGATATATTACAAAAAAATGCAGGTAATTAAACTGAAAAGGTATAACATTTACCTATCGCCTTAATTTATAGGTGATGCTAGAGAGCGAAAGTGAGAGAAGCCCCTGGATATCGATGATGCGGTTAATTAGGTGTGCAAATACATGAGATGGGTAATACCAGAGACATGTAAAGCCATAGATTGGCAACTCGCGCAGATCTCGCAAACGCACGCATGAGCCTATTGTTCTCGAAGATCCGTCGCGAGACTTGCATGGGCTGCAGTCATGCATAAAGGCGGTATCGGCTTTCTTTATGATTTTGTTTGATAATTTCAAGTTTTATAAGTATCGGAGACAATTTTATATATGATAACAGAATTCCACCTGAATACTGAAATATATGTTTATAAATGTAGAATATACGCAATCTAATTAAAATTATATCTTCACTACGTTTCTGGTAATACACAAGCGAAATCACAGTGGTGTTGACAGTCCTATACAGTGTACCCAGAACAAACAAAAAAGAAATGAATATATTCTAATTAAATATGATCAAAACAGCAAAAATCTCAAAAACCGCATCAAAATCGGCCAGTCCAATGCCGCGATATGTACGATTTTCACCTGGTTATACTCGCGGTGAATGGGACCCTATCGGCGGTGACGTCACAATAATAATATAAACTTTATTTATTTTGCAACAATGATGAAACAAGTTTTTACAACTCTGTATACTAATCACTCTTGTTGGCACGGATGTTAGCGCGCGGGGGGGTCTTACTGTGGGAGAAAACTGGAGTACCCGGAGAAAACCCACGTAATCGGGCAGGTGACCCCATACCATTTCACGTCCGATCGGGGAATCGAACCCCGGTCGCCTTGGTGAGAAAGGCAAGTGCGCTATCCACTGCGCTAACGCAGGTGAACAAGGGAGTACTTGAAGTTAGTATGTAGATTAAGTGTCTTCAAATTTTCCATTTAACAACACTGTCCTAAGGCTAGATAACGTGGAAATGAATAAGGATCAATTTCAAGGCTTTGTCAAAGAAACACGTTGTATGCAAACCATAAACAGTACAACTGCATCAAAGCAAATAATGCTGGACCATGTTATATAATAATATAATATACAACATAATATAATAATATACAACATTTGATATAGCGCCCTATCTTACTAACATAAGCCACTCTAAAGCGCTTTACAGTACATAGATATACAATTAATACAATTAGCATATACATTAATTAATTCAATTTTGAGGGATTCGCAGGAGCTGCCTTATCAGGCGCTAACTACTAGTTCTATGCCACCTGGCTAATATCTCACTATGTGTGTATGCCTGCGTGTGTGCTGGAGATGTATTGTGTTCTGTTTTGTAGTGGGACCGTGCTTCAAACGGCATATTTATGCACATTATATCTGATCAGGTGATTCAATGATAAATAACTTACATTTCTGAGACTTGAACGGACAGGTTCTTCCTCTGCAAGATTCTTAAAATTGGTGTGTATATTTATGTGTTACAAATGAAAGATGTGTTACTTAAGCTTGTATTTGTAAACTTCATTGATTCTCTGGATTGCATAAAGATTAAAAATATGGAAATAATCCCCTCCCGATGCAACTTTTACGACACAACTTATGTCACAAATAGTACAACTGGGGCAAATATAGACGGGTTGCTGCTCATTTTGAGTATCAATTATTGTACCGTTTTCTTTGTTAATTTCAATCGTATGTCTCCCGCATATTTATAAAGAAAGGGGTGGGTTGTGCCACGGAATTAGATTAGTTATCTAAGTCCGTGGTTGTGCTTTCGTTAATTTGACTCAATTTTAAAATTGCTTTGTGATGTGTATATATATAGGGTTCACCATTATTTCTAGAGATAAATTGATTAAAGTATATATATACAGTCACTAGATTATCCCTGAACATTCTCATACAGCACATCGTTTGCCTCATCAATAGGAACTCATTTCATCATTAAAATTACAATATGTATGTAGCACTTTAAATATTACCTACACAAGTAAGTGACGACGGAATATCATATAAATAGCTAAAAAGCTCGCATATCGAACTCACGATCGAACCCTCCCGGTATATTCCTATATGGCTGTTTTGACAGCGTTGAACTTTTGAACGTGGCTTTATACGTCTCTGGCTGAGCCAAAGATGTGTTTTCAGATAAATCACAATATCTCTGAAACGGAGTCACCTACGACGTTCGCACTTTCTTACCCTGTAATATGTAATATGAAGTATTTTCATAGCTTGATTCTTTAACCATTGCTGCTTAAAGGTGAAACTTTTACTATACATACTAAGTAACCACGGAATTAGATTCTATCATAATGATAACATAATAATTAACCGCTGCCATTATAATTATATGTAGATTTATGAAGATATATATGCACCATATATATTTCTGGACCAATCTAATCAATAACATAAAAATTAACACATATAATAAGTAAGTGTTATTTTTGTAGTAAAGCCATGAGATATCTACCTTTCTTTTTATGACACGACTTTTGAATTTCTTTGGCAGATGGGTTTCGATATTAATCCTGTCTCACCATTCCTATAGTACGGAAAATGTATTCTTGAGATTAGTGCGTACCTTTAAACATTCTGACGACTATGACTTTCCTCTACAATTATTATCTCCCGTTCATTTCCTGTGTTTCAGTCTTCGACCAGCTGTTTACAAACAAACGTGCTATGTAAACTTAGATTTAAGGTAAACATCAATGTTTATATCTGTGTGCTCTGTATCATTTTTCTAATCAGTCTTCTTCTTTCGGCTCGTGTTGTGTAACACATTTAGAGATCGACCCAACACCATACTGGCGCCTTGAACATGTTGGAGCACAGGGGCTTGTATACTCCAACAATGTTAGAGGTTTTACACGGTGAAACTTTTGACAGGCGCCGCGTAACCTGAGGTCGCAGTCGGCAAAATCATATCTGATTGAAAAAAGGCCGACCAGCGGCCTCTCATGTTATGGGAGTAGGGCTTGTCTAGACTTAGATGATAAACTTAGCTATATATATATCATATACATACAACCTATATACAACCTAAACTTGTCCACACTGTTGGAATTACTTCTTTGCCCCTTATATATACATATAGGTATTTCAAGCTATAGGTATCCTAAAGATCACTGATTCAATGGAAAGCCTGTGACTTGTAGTGATGTTTTTTTATAATTAGTTAATTGATTGTCGATGGTGGAGTGCGCAAAGAATGGCACATATGACATGGATATGGTATCGTCTAGTCATCAGTTTCCGCGCGTTATGTACTTCCGCACAGACATTTTATCAAGCTATATCTCGTAACTACGTGACCTGCTGGACACAACACAAGGATATTTTAGACGTTGGACGTTTGGCCATTGTCTGTAAACTGACACAAAAATTACAGGAAGTTTGTCTAGAAAACATGAAAAATAATCACCGATTAAAAAAACTCGCATAAATATGCACTTTTTATCTCGCTTTTGACATCTTGAAAAATCAATTAAAAATGTTAAATTTAAAAAAAAAATGTTTTGTTAATTAATTTGACGATCAAAGATATTTTTTTTTATTCCAAACGATGCTTTTGTTCTTGCAGGTCACTGTTGAGAATTTCTTTTTAGTGTATTCGAGTTATCTTTCTTTGAACACTAAATCAAAATAGACACACGGAAACATATGACGGCTACTTCCGACGGGAGAAATTTGTTAAAAATTGTTTGTTCTGATTTTTTTGAAATACAGTTTTATGTTGCTAGTTTTTTGGTTTTCTTTAGTAGATTGTATACATGTTTATGACAGTCTTCTGTAATTTCAACATTTTTCTGCCGATATGAGTACGAAATGGCGGATGCTTCTTAAGTGCGCGGAAACCGGTAACCCGAGGATATATATAGTCTTGTCTAGTGAAGTCTAACAGTCACATTAATGTAAATATATCGTAAATTAGAACGACTGATAAAACTTGTGTGCATGATCTTTCCAGTGCCTGTTAGCCTATTTTTAAAACTATTTAAACTTTCGACGTAAAACCACTTCAGCTGATAAATTGTACTTGTTTCAGTTGGTAACTACACAATTGCTAAATATGTTCTTGGTGGTGTTGAAGCGGCATTGTTTCCTAAAGAATTTTCGCTGGTGACCTCTGGTTGCCAGATAGGTGAATTCAGTAAATAATTTGGACTTGTCTGCATCGTCCACACCATTCATAATTGTGTACACTTGAAGCATATCAGCCCGTCGTCCTCGTCTATATTCTCATGAGTAACAACACATCTTTTAAAACTTGTACTTCTTTTGATTGAAATGTGTGAAAGACTCTTTCAGGCTTTGTTTAATACCTTTGATTGTTTAATACCTTTGATTGTTTATTTCCCCACATGTATAATGGGATAAGTGATAAATGACATAATTGATATGAAGAGATAAGATCATGTATTTTAATCATTATGAAACAGTGGGTTTTTTCTCTGTCTCGTGTGGAAATCGGTGTCAAAGTGGGAGGTTATTTTAGTGTCAATGCATCATTTAACCATGACGTCATGGTTTACACATGCATATTTTTTTTCCCTATTTTAGTCTGTGGAATAAGGCATGAAACATACACCATGGACAGAGATCATCCTAACTAGTTTAAAGATCATTGACAGAATCATGGATATTTTGAAGAATACAGTGACCAGATGCTTCATCTTCTGTTTTCTGTTCCTGGTGACAAACTTTGTCAACAAGGTAAGTACGAAGGGAGATAATTCAAGAACATGTGATAAAAGATAAGGGAAAAAACAGGAAGTGTGGGGGGGGGGGGAAGATGAAAGTGCCAGGGAAGGTTATATGTAAAATGAAAAAGATATATTAAGAAAATCAAAGGTAAGTAGGGAAGATAATGTAAATGTCAATAGAGATAATAGAGAGATTGAGAAAATAGGGAAGAATATTGAAGATAGTATACAGCTGAAGATATTTGTAAAACAGGGAAGAAGAGTGGAGATGATTTAAGAACAAGATGACTTAGAAATGGGTAGTAATGTAAGAACAGGTAAGATAATAATGGAAAATAATAAACAGGAGAGATAATGTAAAACAAGGGAGATAATTATTAACAAGGGAGATAATGTAAAACAAGAAAGACAGTTATAAACAGGGGGGATAATATAAACACAAGGTAGATAATTATAAACAGGGGAGATAATGTGAAAAAAGTAGGAGAGATAATGTGAAAATGTTAGATTTACTGTAAGCACAGGGAAAGAAGTGAAAGTGTAAGAACAGAAAGAAGGACGAAAAGAAGAGAATTTCGTGTAAAATAAAGACAAGATGATTTAAAAAAAGGAAAATGTTGTTAAAAATAGCAATGATAATGTAAAGCGATAAAATAATGTTAAAAAAAGGAAAGATACTGCAAGAGTATTTTTTTTTTTAATTTACATCGGGGGAGATAATATATAGGATGATGTACATGTAAATATGGATGCAATCATGGTAAACATGGAGTTTTTTCCCTATAAGCTAATTTTATGCCAGAGGGTGTCACTTGCAATAGATTATATTTGTTTTATTTTGCTTCAGTATGTCCTGTCAGTGCTGGAGTTCAAGTATCCAACAATATTTCAAGGGTAAGTGCATTAATTCACCATGTAACACTAAACATGTTCATTTTCTCAATGTGATCCATGTATTTGATATTATCATTCTTTTGATACTTTTGATTTTTATCAAACCTCATACAATACTCAATTGCAAAAATATCTCAAAAGGTATAAATGACATCTGTATATGATTTTGTAGATGGCAGACATTTGTGGGGTTTTTGGTTATAAGGATGTGTGTGGTCACCAAACACTTGCCTTCCATGCTGACAGACAAGGAAACAATCAGGTTTGTTTACAGAGTTTACCTCATCTCAACAGCTCAGGTTATCTGGCATCATTAACAGCTCAGGTTGTCTGGCATCATTAACAGCTCAGGTTATCTGGCATCATTAACAGCTCAGGTTATCTGGCATCATCAACATCTAGGTGATGGTGTCAGATATCATTATTCTTTTAGACTGCATAATGTAATGATATTGAAGAAATGAATTTCTCACATACTTCACAGGCTGATCCCGTTGTTGCTAGGGAAAAGACAACTCTATCTTATACGGGGTAGGGAAAGACAGCTAACATGCTATGACGTCATAATAATGGATTGTTGACGTGACGTCATTTTATTGTTTCCGTGATGTCATACAATTGTTGTGAATGGGGAATCATCCGTCTCAATCCTAGGGCTTTGGGGTTTGCCGGAAAAATAAGATCAATGTTTATTCTGACTGGAATTTGTTTATTTGTATGTATGTGAGAAAACTAATCAAACATGGGTCTGTTCCATAGAGAGGGGTTTCTCAACCTTCGTGTAAGAGTTTGGCTGGCCAGCACGACGCTTGCCAAACTCTTACACGAGGGTTGAGATATCCCTGTCCACGGAACAGACTCATGTAAGATTCTATTAATCTCCATTTGAAGTTTTGAAATGATACTAATGACAGACTTGTTTACATCTACGATTTTAGAAGAGTTTCTACGATTATTGAAGTTATTTTACACTCCGCACTTTGGAGAGTAGTTTCTATGCATTCTACCAAAAAAATCCAAAAAAATGCCATTGTGTGTTCGTCGACCTTTGTTGTGTGTTCTGTATCAAACACACTGTATCGAATGCACCCTGTAAACCACATAGTCACACAGACGCTAATCACAATTTTATGGGCATTACAAACACGTGATCCCTATTCATCTAATAGATTATAAACGATAATTGCGGAGTGGTTTCAAATGGACATCCCTCTAATGGTTAATGAAGGTTCCCGATGCGTTCCAAATATTGGGAAACAGTGACAGCCATTTTGACACGAGCAGAGGAATGATGCTGAAACAAAAATGCCAACAATATGTTCTGCCAAAGAATAAGAAGGTGGTGACCCAGCGGTACCAATTATCCTACACGAAAACATTTGAAATGCCTACAGCCCTCCAGGAAGGGCGATACGTTCGTGCATTGCACTCTCTGCCGCTCAGACTTCTCCTGCAAGCATGGCGGTAGTATGGCGCCCCTCCCACACCCTCCCCTGCTGCGCAAGCATCTGGATACTACACTTTGCTATGTCAAACTAAACTTTAATTCCTCTTTGACAAATAATAGTGTAAACAGGTCTGCATATGACCTTGTCTGATACAGATGACCTTTTCTGATGACCTTGACCTTTGTTTCAGACATCGAGCAGTGATGTGGATCCCTGGTATGATGTTGTTTGTGTCGGTGATTTATTCCGGATCCAAGGCCCTGGCTAACCTGGTCAGTACAAACCTAGAGTAACAGCAGGGTAAACTAACCCCTCTAACAGATTTACTGATGATGTCTCAAAACCATACACAGATAACAAATATATGTAGGATGTCTTAAGACCTTTTTATTCTGGTGATGTGAATTACCTTACAAATAAAATAATATCATCTTAGTACCTGGTATTTATCAATGAATACACCAATCAGTTTTCTAGTCATTGTGTAATTTATAAAAGAAATATTATATATTAAAACCTAATTGATTTGTTTGTAGACACTGCCAGTATTCCTGTCTCTTCAGAATCTAGTCACAGTTATAAACTGTACAACACAGATGGCCATCTCTAGGAAGGTAAGCCATGATGTTACAAGGTATTTGATTGGCTGCTGACAATACAGTCATTTATTTCCGATGGTAAACCCTGACATTTTATGTTACAAGGTATTTGATTGGCTGCTGACAGTCATTTCTTTCAGACGATAAATCATGACCATGTAACCTTATGTTACAAGGTATTTGATTGGCTGCTGACAATACAGTCATTTATTTCGGAAGGTAAACCATGACATATTATGTTACAAGGTATTTGATTGGCTGCCTACACTAAAGTCATTTATTTCGGAAGGTAAGCCATGACATATTATACAAGGTGATATCACTGGGTACCTGCTGTAGACTTATTAACTAGGGATAAGGACAGTTGGTTGTATACTTTGGAGCCTTGCTATTTCAGCATGACATCATTGCTTACCTTCCTGGAGAAATGACTGTCAGCTTGATATGTCAGCCTCCTTCATTCCTGGGAAAACTAGATAGATTGTTAATTGGCTGGATTTGTATAGGCAAATGTTATGCTCCCCCTAAAACCCTGGCTTGATATTGGGACAACTGGATTAGTGATGACTGAATAGTAGGACAATCAAACTAATGAGGCTGGATATATATAGCTACCCAACCTTCTTAATCCAAACGTATCTCTGTGAGACAACTGAATCACTGGTGGTCGGAAAATGGGACAGGGGGATAACTGGATTAGTGGTTACTGGATTAACAGGGCTTAACTATTTGTCAATTTTAAATAAACATACCTATTCTGTACTCTATTTTGGTTGCATGGGAGTTGGATATACACATTGCTGTTTTCTTTTACAGCTGATGAGTTTATTTAGTTACCTGATGTTAATGCTGGTCGTCATCTCTTCTCTAGGAGCTGTCAACTCTGACCCTCAGGTGTGTATTGTTTACTAACTCTGACCCTCAGGTGTGTATTGTTACTAACTCTGACCCTCAGGTGTGTATTGTTTACTAACTTTGACCCTCAGGTGTGTATTGTTTACTTTTAATGCATCACTTTTATCTGTGGATTGCTACTGAGGATATCCACCTATAAGATATATTGTATCTTATCACAGTAACACTGATAAACAAGCTGTCCTTTATCATTTCAGTTCAATGCAGATGGATATTTCTGGATGTGTGTTCATATCGTTTCTACAGGTAAAGTGCCCATTGATTTGAGTGTGTTACCCTGTCATACCTGTTACAAGTTAATTAAGGTAGTTTCCATTACTGTTCTACTGTATACAGGCCCTGGCAAGTTGTTTACCTGTTCAATTATGTTATTTTCTCTATATTTACACAAAGACAATTATAGGATACAGGCCATTTTGGTATGTCAGAACATTTTGAAATGATTCTCAGTAATGTTGCTGAAAAATGTTAGCAACAAATACGACCAGTAGTTGGTAGCTTAGTGGTTACCTATAATCTCTGTGTTATAAACAAGACCATCCTCGATATCCAGGGGTTACGCTCACTTTCGCTCTCTACACCCCTGGAATATGTCATAGCAAAATTGAAGGCACGAAGATAGCTATTTGATTGGTCTCAGGTAAAAAAAACCTGACCAATCGCTAGGCTGATTCATGTCCTTTGAAGATTACAAAGGAGAGACGCCGATTTCAAAGCCTGTCATTTGTTACCATTACGTGACTGCGCGATTCTTTTGATGTACATCAAAGGATCAAACTAGTCTTCTTGTCTCATCAACAAGGTGGTGCACACCAAGCCTTCAATTTTGCTATGACATATTCCTGGGGTGTAGAGAGCGAAGGTGAGCACAATTCCTGGATATCGAGGATGAGGCAAGACGTGCAGGGATTGAATACTCATAGTGTAGCCAATATGTTTTGGTGAAAAGGTCAATTATTTAATGAATACTCTGTACGATGAAATTTTCACCCAGTCAAATTTTCGCCCCTTTGACAGTAAAATCCATTTTTGCCCAATATTTAATTCAGCCTTCATATTTAATTACTATTTATATATTATGTTGTTGACAGATGTAGGCTATATTGATAAATTTGCCCTCAATATGGTTGTCGAAAAGGCAAAAATTTAACACAGCGAAAACTTACCAGTATACAGTATATTTCTATATACAACTCTATATAGAAAGATACTGGACATATTAGGATCGTTTTTGCTGAAGATAAAACACCGAGCAACAGGATACTAACTTAATGTGTTTACAAGGAAACTGAAGTTTATCAATATCAAGATAGCTGATCCACAAGGCTACATGTATTGGTTTGAAGGGGAGATCATTCTTTTCTATCACCGACTATAATACAAAATCGAATGTATAATTTGTGAGATAGTGAAAGTTTTAAGGGAGATAACTCCCCAATCATAGATATATTATGTGTAAGGGAAAGCATGTATATATTTATCACATAATGTACTGTGTTATCACAAAATGTACTGTGTTATCACATACTGTACTGTGTTATCACATAATGTACTGTGTTGTCACATAATGTACTGTGTTATCCAGTATCACATAATGTACTGTGTTATCACAAAATGTACTGTGTTATCACATACTGTACTGTGTTATCACATAATGTACTGTGTTGTCACATAATTTACTGTGTTATCCAGTATCACATAATGTACTGTGTTATCACAAAATGTACTGTGTTATCACATACTGTACTGTGTTATCACATAATGTACTGTGTTGTCACATAATGTACTGTGTTATCCAGTATCACATAATGTACTGTGTTATCACATAATGTACTGTGTTATCCAGTATCACATAATGTACTGTGTTATCCAGTGAATATACCCATGTCATATTTTTTGGTGTATTAACCCATGTAATGCGACTATCATCCCTGTGATTGGTTTTAAGTTTCAATTGTTTCAACTGTGACGTCAAGCCTAGGAAGTACATGACATCACAGACTTGCACACTGGAGTCAAAATGGTGACTTTTTACGTTTCAAGGTTGCATGAAAATTGTCATTTTACACGAATAGATGCCAAAAATCTTGATTATTTGATAAAAAGGAGCTTACACTCGTTTTCATTTCATATGAAATTGATGAAACTCATTAGAATTTTTCATTTTAGCTCGCCTAAAGTGAATTTTTTTTAGACTATGCTCATTAATCTCATATGAAATGGAAACTCATGTAAGATCCTATTTATATTATAAATATCTTAAAATATGTAGAAAGTGGATAAAGTAATAGGGGTATCTTGATACAGACATGAGAGTTCCAATCTTGGCATTCACTTCTGGAATAGTTAGACTGACAGCAGGGTTTCACATTTTACCAGTAAGGTTTCACATTTTACCAGTAAGATTTCACATTTTACCATGTTTTCCAGGTGTTTTACAGATTTTTTCAAAACTGACCAAAGCCAGGTTAAAAATCAGGTATGTACCATTGTACCAGGGTATGTGTCCTCATTGTTGTCTGTACACTGTTTCTCCTACTTAGTCTAGTTTACAGATTTGAGACACACAATGGTGAACAGACTATCCGATTGATTTTATGATAAAATTGCATTATTTTCATATGTTAGTCCAGTTGTCATCAGAAAATACATGTATAGAGAAAAAAATTCTAGAGTTTTCCTGGAGTTAGTAATAAATGAAGTAAGAAGTGTAATAATTGGATGTATATATTTTTCACAATTTCACAAACAGAAGGGATATATGGTGAATATTTTCTAATTTTCTAACTTTCTAATTGTCCAATGCACTGATCCTCATGTCACATAACAATGCTTTGACATTATTATGGGGAGATAATTCTAATCGTTGGTATGATGTGTTAGGTAGTATATGTCCTTAACTCTTATAGCTGCCAACCTCTAAACTCACTCAATGATATTTTTCGCACAAAATTCATGATGTCATGTTTATAAATAATCGGTCGTATTTATATTTAAATTTCATCAATCCTTTGGTCATCAATTAGCATGTGTTAAAAACACTGTTGTTTATTTCCAAGTATTCAAACAATCATTCTTTTTGAAATTAAGTAAATTGTTGAATAACTTCATTTCAGCTCACATGAAAAGCTTTACTGCAACTACATATACAGGTAAGACTGTAGGGTTTTCTGATGTCCCCTTGTAGCTTGGAGCTTTATGTAACGACATATACAGGTAAGACTGTAGGGTTTTCTGATGTCCCCTTGTAGCTTGGAGCTTTATGTAACTACATATACAGGTAAGACTGTAGGGTTTTCTGATGTCCC